AGGCGGGCATTCGCCTGTGGGAGAGGCCCTGCCAGGTGTTGCCTTCCACACATTGTCAGCCAAGACTTGTCGCTGTGCTCAGACTAAAGATACGCTGAGGTGCCTCGCCCCTGTTCTCTCAAAAGCAAAGACATGGGGGGAGGAGGCCATGGGGGTGTTACGTTTGGGGCAGATTATGTTCAGAGACAGATTGTCTTCTCCAGATATTTACTTAACACGGGTTCGCTGTGGGCATTATAACTTAAAATATTTCACAGGCCAAGAGCACATAGGATACTGTCCTTTAAACTAGTAACATTACAAACCAATGACAGATTTCACTACCGCACCAGACAAAGGGGGGATGAGAGTCCAACTTCAGTGACGTAGTAACTTTCTCCAGGTTTGTTCTTGGAGTCCCGCCAGCTGCCAGCATAGGTCCCTGGCTTGCCGGGGGGAGGAGGGGGTGCTCCTAAGGCTATTCCAAGGACCTGTACGTGGTACACAGCACTGCCTACAGCGAATGGCCTAACCACGGCAGGAACATGTCCCTTCTCTTCCTGATGCTGCTGCACAGTTTATGGCCACTGTCCCTGCCTGCCAAGGGCGGCCTGACCACAACCGGGACCCAGTGGCTCAAGATCTCTTAGAGCTATTTAGATAGGCCAGCGGAGAGCAGCTTTGTCCAAGCCAAACACACTCAGTAAAGCCTCATAAATTCCCGGTAATATCCCACTTGGAGTATCTGGGTGGCCCCGGTAGTCATGAGGGTCCTCACAGTGAAGGAAGGACTCAGAAGGCGAGGACCGGAGGGATGGCCCCATGAGAAGAGTTCGGCCTAACATTGCTGGCTTTGAAGTTGCAGGAAGAGGGCCAGGAGCCACGGAACGCACGAGGCTCTTCAGGCTTGAAAAGGTCCCAGAGAGTCTGCCGACGAAAGCAGCTCTGTTGACTTTAGCCCATTGTGGACTTCTCACCCTCTAGAACTGTAAGTTAATAAACTTACGTTGTCTTAAACCACAAGAAAACAATATCACATGATCGTTTTTCCTCCACAGGTTCTTATAGATAAGGTCCCGGTGATGCCCCTCAGCAGGTGTCAGTGACATCCCGGCACAGCTCCCTTACTTTAAATCCCAAGTGGGAAACCTGTTTCCTACCAAGCACCATTAGGGTATTTATAACATCATGTGCAGGCCATATGGAATTGTCAACTTAAAAATTAGCCTGCTATATTTGGTCAAACTTTAATTAACTCACCCCCAATGCCTTGGGCAGGACCAGACTAAATGATTTCACGGGTCTTATATGGTCCGAGGGCGGGCCGAACTTTCCCCACCCCTGATATAAACAAATTCACCCATGGGTCAAAGCAACTTCACTTAAGTCATAAACAAGTTCATTTGAAATCATAACCAATACACACCAGGGGCAAAGAAGTAACACAAAGAGAGGTGTGTCATAAGTGCCCTGAGAGAGTGGGTGGACTAGGAACCATGGAAACGAACAGGAGACAGTCCTTCACTGGCCAGGAGGGACTCAGGTAAGGTCTGGGGAAGTTAAACTTGAATTTGTTCAGGACAGGCGTGCTAATGAGAACAACAAAAGTGTGCAAGAGTCAGGGTGAAAGATGGCCCCTGTTATAAAATGATGAAACTTCCCTAGAATTTATTTTTTAAATATATTTTATTGATTTCAGAGAGGAAGGAGGAGGGAGAGAGAGAGATAGAAACATCAATGATGAGAGAGAATCATTGATCGGCTGCCTCCTGCACGCCCCTCACTGGGGATTGAGCCTGCAACCCAGGCATGTGCCCTTGACTAGAATCGAACCTGGGACCTTTTAGTCCGCAGGCCAACACTCTATCCACTGAGCCAAACTGGCTAGGGCTTCCATAGAATTTAGTGAGGCCTAAGGTCAGTGCCTTTGCTCACCCATTATTTAACGGTGGATGACCAACTTTAAACCCTATGACTCATGTACAAATCCTTTCTGCCGTTTGGAGCACAGCTGAATTGTCACCTTTTCCCAGTCTCACTGACCCTCACCGAGTCACATCATAGTTTATTCATACCTTATTGTTCCAAGCCCTGACAGTACATTTAGGGTTAAGTCTTATCATCCCACTAGTCCGTCCCTATGTTCCTTGAGGGAAGGATCTGTGTCTGATAAATCAGAATCATCCACAGCATCTACCACAATGCTTTGAACTTAATTTATCCTCCATAAGAATGTAGTTAACGAATGAATGAATGATGAATGACAGTAGTGTAGTAGGAAGACTGGGTGACTAGAATCAGGAGACCTAAATTCTGGCTGCCACGAACCAGCTCTGTGACCTTGGACGAATCAAAAGTCAGTCACCATGGGGGAGGGGGGCGCAGGGGCATCCGTCTTCCTTGCCATCCTGCCCAACACTGCTGAATTTAAGGAAGTATGGCACCAGTTACCATTTTCACCCCAAATACTATGTTTTCTCTGCTACTAAAATAATCACGTGTCAAAACACTTTCCTGGGCATCACATGACCCCCAAAACAACTTTCCTCAACTGTTCTTCCTCTTAGCACTTCTGGGCTTTGGCCTCAGATCACTTCTCTAGTTCTTAGAGCAGCTTCTGCTGACATTGACTGGAATTGTGCCCTGGGCTGCATAAGAAAACATCCAAGTAATTCTTAAAATGGTTCAACCAAAGTCTCACACAGCTGACCCTAACCCTAGAGAGGGGAAGGAATAGGCTGGGGAAAGATTATCCAAACAAGCTGCCTTAAAAGAGGTTCCAAGCATTTAAAGTTATTGACCTTGAATTACTTGTTTTCTCTCCCACCCCCTCCAAAAGGTATTTAACAAAATTATTTCACTGGAGTAATTTAAATTGATAAACATTTCTGGAAAGTGTAGGGCGCAGCTACAGGGTTAAGCCTCGGGATGACCTGTTGGCAAAGCCACAAATAAGTCCCAGCTTAGAGGGCACAGTCCTCTTGGCATAATTAGGCTTGACCTTATGATGCTCCCTACAGCTTATCTGGGAAGCTAATGGGCTGAGGGGGATGCAGCAAGTGCCACCAAAACAAGTGAAACAAGAACACTAACTATGGTGACCACTGCCTTGTTTACCTCTGGAATCATCTCATTGTTAGGAATTCACTCTTTGGAAATAGAGATGTACACTAAGATTTGTGTAACAACACAAAGCAAAAAAGCAAAAGCAATCACAACCACCATACCAAAACAAAACCACCACCAAAAAACAAACCCTGTTTACCGTAGTGTTATTTTTTTTTAAATATATTTTATTGATTTGCGGAGCTGGCTTGGCACAGGAAAGTAATTAAGTAATATGCCTTTAAAACTTTATGCCCTTTGACTCAATCATCTCATTGTTAGGAATTCACTCTTTGGAAATAGAGATGTACACTAAGATTTGTGTAACAACACAAAGCAAAAAAGCAAAAGCAATCACAACCATCATACCAAAACAAAACCACCACCAAAAGACAAACCCTGTTTACCGTAGTGTTATTTTTAATAGCAAACAACTAGAAACAATATAAACATCCAACATCAAACATATGGTTATGGTACATCATTCAATGCAATATTATGAAACCATGAAAAACCACATAATAATTTAAAACAAGTAAATTGACAAATGATATGAAATTAAGAAAAAAAGACAATAATATATGACAATTTGTGTGTGTGTGTGTGTGTGTGTGTGTGGAAAAAAGACAATAATATATGACAATGTGTGTGTGTGTGTGGGGGGTGTAACACACAATAATATATTAGAAAAGTGGTTATTGGTAAAGATCCCAGAACTTTCATGGTAAGTGATCTGAGAGGAAAATGATTTCAGGTGATTTTTATTTTGGTGTTCATACTTTTGTATGTTTTATACTTCTTTGTATATTTTAGCAACTCTGACTTTAATGATCAGAAAGTAAGCTATTTTAAGAGAAAATCTTCCACCTGTATTTGTCAGTCTAATCAACTAATACTTTTTTAAATCTGACCATTTATCCATGGCTCAAAATTAATCCTGACCCCTTTTCAACTAAAGCATCTACTTCATCCCACACTGTGTCAAATCCTAGGATATTTGTTGCTTTTACCAGTTAAACAATGTTAGACCAGCAATCTATCTATCTTAGCACCCACAAGCTACCTCTGCTTGTAAGTGGCCACATGCCCATGATGTTAATGATTGCCAAGCATCCTGTATCTTTTATAACCAAGCATTTGAACCATCCTTAGCCTTGACTTGATTCCTAGTTCACTGGGAGGGGAAGGTGGGAGAAGGAAGGAAGGGAAACAAAACAAATGATAGAAAAAAAAAACACTAATTTGGGGTTAGAATACAGTTGAACAAGGCAGAGGAGGTTAGGGTCAAAGAGAGGTAGAAAACAAACACGAAATGAAAGAGATATGGGAGTAACAGGAAGGGTAATTTCCAACAGAAAAGGCAGCAGTTACCCAAATGCTTGCCATATTACGATACTGATGTGCTATATTATCAACCTACTCACTCTTAGTCGTGAACTTCATGTTCACGGGATAAACAATAACAAAAGGATTGTGCAATTTTAGTGGGTCCAAAAGACACCCAGGTGTCTGAGGCTACTTTCAAGATCAGGGGTCCTCAAACTTTTTAAACAGGGGGCCAGTTCACTGTCCCTCAGACCATTGGAGGGCCGGACTATAGTTTAAAACAAACTGTGAACAAATCCCTATGCACACTGCACATATCTTATTTTGAAGTAAAAAAACAAAACGGGAACAAATACAGTATTTGTATTTGCATGTGGCCTGCGGGCCTTAGTTTGAGGCCCCCTGTTCAAGATGATCCAACTGGCCAGTGTGACTAAGGAACAGGATTTTAAATTTCATCTTAATTATATAAATTTAAATAGACACAGGTGGCTAGTGGCTATTTTATTAGTGCAGTTCTAATACTACAAAAGTTAATGTTCAGCAATTGAAAATGCATTTTTTTAAAATGAATCTTTTCTTCCTTAAGACTCAAAGAACAGCCAGGAAATCAGATTATTTATTCAAAAAAAAAATCTTTCTCTGGATAAATCCCTGAGACCAGTAATGATTTATTGCCACCCAATCAGGAAAGAGAAAATAAGGCAATTCAATGGGTATCTCAGCTGCAGGCTCTCGGGTGTCATTTTGTTTTCTATCTGGGTTACACTTTAGGTTTTTTTTCTTTCTTTTTTTAAACATATTTTTAATTGATTTCAGAGAGGAAGGGAGAGGGAAGAGAGAGAGAAATATCAATGAGGAGAGAGTCATTGATCGGCTGCCTCCTGCACATCCCCTACTGGGGATCAAGCCTGCAACCCAGGCATGTGCCCTGACTGGGAATCTAACCGTGACCTCCCGGTTCATAGGTTGACACTTAAGTTTTCTTTTGAAGCTCTTCCTATTTTACCTTAGATCAAAACAAATTTCTTCTTTTTCTCCATCCATGGCAGTATCTCTCACTGGGCAGATTCAATGACCTAGTTAGTGATCTAGATCTTCCCATCCTCCCAAGAGGTGTACCTTTTCTAGATGTTTTGGCAAACAAACCAAAGAAGCTGTGTAGGGAGCAGCTATAGGGTCAAGCCTCAGACTGACCTGTGGCAGATCCTCATACAAGTCCCAGGTTGGAGGGCAGAGCCCTCCTAGCACAATTAAGCTTGACCTTTATAGTCCTCCCTTGTTCCTAGGTCTAGTTAATGGGCTGTGGGAGGTGTATCCATTGCTGCCAAAACAAGGCTTGAGTAACAAAATAGATTATTGTAAACATGTTGACCACTCCCTTTGTTTTGCTTTGTGTGATCTGACTATAAAATAAAGCTTCAGCTTACAGGCTGTGTCACTGTTTCCTCATCCAGGCAGTGATCCACCTGGTCCCAAGTGTATTCTCTTGTCTGCTTTAATCCTTCACTGCCCCTCCTCAGGTACCCCCCTGGCCGACAGGGTTCACTTTGTAGTGCAGTGATCAGAGAACACCTTAATAATAATGTCCCAAAAAGAAAAGTGGACTTTGGGACTTAAGAGGAAGATGAATTTGGGACTGAAAATGATGAGATGAGGGCCAGTTCCCCTGAACAGTCTTTCCAAGTCCATTCAGGAGGAAAATCTTCAACCTCAGGAGACTCGAAAGACTTTGGTATGTGAATTTTCCGATGCTGACTGAGATAGGCACTTCTGCTAAAGCATTTCTCACAGTCAGGACATTTGTAAGGTTTTTCTCCTATGTGGGTCCTCCGGTGCCTGATAAGGTTAAAACTTTGACTAAAGCACTCACTGCAATCAGGACATTTATAAGGTTTCTCTCCTGTGTGTGTCCTTTGGTGAATCACCAGGGTGGAACTCTGACTAAAAGTTTTCCAGCACTCAGAACATCTGTAAGGTTTTTCTCCTGTATGTGTCCTCTGATGTCTAATGAGATGGGAGCTGAGGCCAAAACTCTTTCCACATTCACAACATTTATATGGTTTCTCTCCTGGCTGGGTCCTACATTCTTCTATCACACTGCAGTTCTGACTCAAACTTTCTTCACAGTCTGAACTTTCATAGGGTTTTTCTCCTGTGTGTGTTTTCTGGTGTGCTATGAGGTTTGAACTTCGACTGAAATTCTTCCCACATTCTGTACACCGGTAGGGTTTTTCTCCTGTATGTATTCTCTGATGCTTTATTAGAGTAGAATTACAACCAAAGCTTTTTCCACACTCAGTACATTTGTAGGGCTTCTCACCTGTGTGTGTCCGCTGGTGGCGAATCAGGCTGGAACTCTGACTAAAACCCTTCCCACAGTCAGGGCATTTGTAAGGTTTTTCTCCAGTGTGAGTCCTCTGATGTTCTATTAGGACGTAACTGTGGCTGAAGCATTTCCCACAAACAGGACATTCATATGGTTTTTCACCAGTGTGTAATCTGTGATGCTGAATCAGGTGAGAGCTGCTGCTGAAACTCTTCCCACACTCGGGACATTTATAGGGTTTCTCTCCTGTGTGTGTCCTCTCATGGATAATAAGATGGGAGGTATTGCTGAAGCTTTTCCCACATTCCCCACACTGGTAGGGCTTCTCTCCTGTGTGTGTTCTCAGATGTTGAATCAGGTGAGAGCTGTTACTGAAGCATTTCCCACACTCAGAACATTTATAAGGTTTTTCTCCTGAGTGGGTCCGTTGGTGAGCACGCAAATGAGAACTGTTATTGAAGCTTTTCCAACATTCAGAACATTTGTAGGGTTTGTCTCTGAAGGATGAATTCTGCTGGACAGAGGCACTGGCATGTTCTCCTGGGCCCCAACCCCCATCATTGCGTTTTTCTTCCTCTTTTCCTGTAGAATTTTCCTGATTCTCTGACTTGCCATTATTCTCATAGAAACTATCATGCCAAGTTTCATCTCCTTGGGACCCTGTCAGTGGTATTTCTTTTGTATCCTCATGCTTACAATTTTGTAGGCCATCTTTTTTAGACCATTTTGAGGCTCTCTCTTTAAGTTTATCTGCCTTACAGTTATTGTCTTGAACAGTTTCTAAATTATTCTTATTTTCATGTCCTGCAAAAATAAATAAATATTCTAAATATAGTTCCTAATCTCTGACAGGGAAATTCTGAATTGCAGTGGAAAGAGGAAATAACAAAGTAAAACTTTGTAAATCATTTTTTTAAGCTAGTTTTACTTAACATCAGAAGCAAATGAAATTTTTCATCACTAATCAAGTATTTGAACAGTTGTCAGCAATTGCCAAGGGATGTATTCATTAAAATTAATTCACTAGTTTTATTCTTAAAGACCTAAAAGAAAAAAGGGGATCTGAGTAGGGGAGAAACTGAATAGGACACCATCTGAGGTGAAAACAAGACAATGTCTGAGTGTATACAGAAATAACTATGATAGCCACTACAGGCATACCTCATCTTATTGTGCTTAGCTTTACTATATTTCACAGATGTTGCATTTTTTACAAATTGACAGCAAATACCTGCACAAGATTATGACTTACTTTATTGAGATGCTTGCTCTATTGTGATCTAGAACTGAAACTGTAGTTTCTCTAAGGTATGCATGTATTTACTAAGAACAGTAGCTTTGCATATAATATCTCATTAATCCATATATATATATATATATATATATATGACAAATAAGCTCACATTTCTTTTTCATAAGAAAAAACTAAGGCTGTAAGAGTTAACACAATTAAAGTTTGTCTCATTGTAATGCCCTGTTCTCTCTACACACCCTATAGTAAGAGTTAACACAATTAAAGTTTGTCTCATTGTAATGCCCTGTTCTCTCTACACACCCTATAGCTCATCTTATAATGGATTTCCAAAGTACTCAGATCACCTTCTTGATCCCTCACCTGTAAAAGGACTTTTCAAACTCTTCCTTTCAGTGAAGCATTTAGAATCTGAGACCAACAAGTTTTTCTCTTGCTCCATCACAATGATCACAACCACATTAGCAGTCAGAAATCCTGTGGAAGGAAACAGGTCACGTTTGGAGGTATTTGTTAAAATTTATTCTTCTTCCTTCCCAATCATTGTAACATAACAATTATAGGCATAGAATGGTCTGTTAATAATTCTGAAAATAAGAAATATGATCTTTAGAAGTCCTTTTAGAAAAATCCTTTCTCATATGCAAGTGTTTAGAATTAAGAGTTAACCCAATATATCTTTTCCAAGGAAATAATTTAAAAAAATAAATTTTCACATTAAAATATGAAGATCAGGCTTCAAAAATAGAATGAATACAATACTAATTGTCCACTCAGAGCTTAGAAACACTTTTAATGGAAAAAACAAAGTTTTTTTTATTGGGGCAGGGGAAAGGAACCAATCATAAGACTTCAAGGAATCAATATGCAGGTAAAGAAGCCGCTAAAGAGAAAGCCCCTGTTTAGTTTAGAAAGAATAACTTGGTCCTTAAAAGGATGAAACCTTTTAAGTCAATTTCAAAGGAAAGTTAGGATTTCCATAACCAGTAACAAGAACTCAGTGCAAAGCAGGGCTGGGATAACAATTTTAAACAATAACCACTAACTATAAAAGAAAGCGAATGCGAGATCTCTTTCTTGCCTCTAAGTCTATCATAATCCCAGTATCCATTTCAGCCTCAACTTTATCTTCTATGGGCAAATACAATCCCTGACCTACTTTAAGGGACAAAAAAATGTGATCTATCACTGGAAGGCAGTTATGTATGAACTTGGCACCCGAGTTAAGATAGAAAGAATACGTAACTTGGGAAAAATGAAAGCCTAAAAGAAAGATATACAAAGGTGTGCATGTGAAAAACAAGAAAAAGTTGACTACTAACTGAAGTAAACTGAGTAACTTGCACATACTATTTCTCATTTAATTCTCACAATAACCCTCTGAGGCATATAAACGGTTTCCAACATTTTATAGATGAGTTCAAAAAGACACCAGTAAACTTTCCCAAGGCCACACAATCGAGAGCGGGAGAGCAGGATTCAGTCCCAAGTCTGTTTGGACACTGACTTTCACACACTCGGCTACTACAGTAAACTAGACCAGGAAGCAGAGAGCTGGGCATAACCCCAAACTTCCCGTGACCCTCAAAGAAGGCCTTTATTTAGAATACATTGACTGGATGAGAACGGATTTACATCCCTAGACCTTATACCAAATGGAGCTGGCATTCCCTAAGCATCCTGAGCAATTAGGGATGTGTTAAAAGAAAAGCTGGAACTAGTCTCAATT